AAAAAAAAAAATAAAAAGTGGTATTAACTTTTAACTATTAATAATATGCACTATTTTAAAATTAATAGATTTTCAGTTTTCGTAAAAAATTCCAAAACAGAAACTATATAAATTTAATAAAACTGACTTTATGGTATTTTAATACAAGTATTTAAATTTTGTTAAAATTACTTTTAAAAAGTATTCAAAATAATTATAAAATACAAAAAAATAAAGTATTTAGATTTTAGAATACCATATAAATACTTCAAAAAGTATTTAAATACAAGTATTCAAATACTTGTATTCGAATACTTTACAAGACTGCATAAACCACAAGGTTTAGATTTGGGATCTGCGCAATGCAATACGTCACGTTCTTAGTTCTTACACAGTTACACATAATAATATCACAGAACAAACTTGTAAAATATTCAAATACAAACTTCACCATTACATTTAGTAGACTTCCAAGATAGATCCAGACTATCTTTTTTTTACCATTTAAATAAACGATTAGGTAGTTCACAAAATGTCCAGAACATTTATTAAATTTATTTTTATCTATTGTAATAATTAATTAGTGAGTTTAAAATTGAAATGTAAATGTAAAATATCAGTTATTACAGAGAAAAAAAATAAAAACTCAATTTTAGGTTAATCTTTATACTTTGGCCAGGTTTTTATGAAAATATCTCACTGTATACCGTAGCTCCACATAACCTTCAAAACACCAAATTTACATATCTATCTTAAATTATCTTTTGGTCATATCCAATATTTACAAATCTAAAAATGATAGGTTTCATTTAAATAATAAAATAACTTTTAGTTTTGTAGTTAAGCAGTATAACTAATAAATAAAAATAAAAATAAGAATTTAATAAATAATTGTTGTACCTATATAATTTTTAAAAAATTAGATACATTTAGGTTTACAAAAACAACAAACATCTTGTTGCCAAGTGCATTTTAAGTGTTTGGAAAATGTATTGTTCGTGTCTGTGTCACAGCTAGTATATAATTACTACCTATAATCATTATTCATTTGTCTTGCGTCCTGCGAATATTACGAAAATGTAATGGAAATTACTTTTGAAAAGTAATTTCCATAGAATAACGAGTTACAGTTTCGAATTTTTAAGTACCTACCTACCTATTGTGAATTGAAAAAAAAAATATGTATAATGCGGGTATTATTATGTTTACCAATATAATAATATGTATATAATATATTTAATTTTAACTCGGCGCAATTCTGTTTTCAATGGTTTTAACATTTAAAATGTCGAATTGCACCGTAAATCACGAGAACAGTTAATTAGATTTATTATTTAATTTGATTTCTATAAATAGGTTTCCTATGAATATAGCTTGAGCGGAAGACTAAATTGTATATGATCCTATTAACAATACAGCTGGTTTTATAAGAATTTGCTTGTTCAATTTGCCTGCAGAAGATAATTGCCAAGAAATTAAATTTTTTTTTATTTTTGTAACGAGAAAGTAATGAGTTATTTTTCTATTTGAAAAGTAAAGTAATTTCATTACAGTTTTATTTGAGTAACGAGTAAAGTAACTTAATTACCTTTTAAAAGTAACTTACCCAACATTACTTGTCGGTTAATGTGAACTCACTATTGCAGACTGAAACAGAATAATGTTCTAAACTTTTTTTTATTATATCAATTGACAGTTATAATACCATTATTTTTTTTTGTTATTTTAAAAAGGGTTTAAAAGTTTAGACGTTCAGATATGAGTATAGGAGGTATAGAGTGAAGTAACGGCATAGGCGCACTTTGGGGGTTAATTAAGGGGTGCTGGAATAATTTGTGTTACACAAAACCGAAGGGGGCTTCGAACCCACACCATCCTAAATTCTAATACTATAATAAATTGCATTGCAATTATTTTAAATTTGTATACAATTTGTAAATAGCAATGAATCAAGTGGTTATAGGCTTTCATTGATATAATTACGATTTTCTATAATATGATTGCTGCTTATTGTTTAATATTTTGACGACAACTGAAACGTGCATTTATGCAATACTGTTTTAATCGCAAATTCATGAACTGTTGTCTATTTGTAATGGAAAAAAAATCCGAACCACAATAATTTATTAATGATTGGTGAAATACTGAAATAAATTTCATAGGGAACTGGGGGTGCTACTTTAAACCTCGAGGGTGCTAAGCACCCCCAAGCACCCCCCTATGTGCGCCTATGAGTAACGGTAGGTATGCTGTAAATTTGTTGTCTTTTACAGTCTACTAAAGTTATTACCTTAACTTAAAATGCCTGAATATTTTTACTTCATATTAAGAAATTAAAATTATAGATGGCTGCAGTTTAAAAATCGAAAGCCGGTAGTTATAGTGCTGCAGAGTTATTATTAAAATTATCAATAGGTACCAATGAAAAAACCTAAGCTACAATTTATGGTTCTTTAATTGTTATTATATACAACTACAAAATATTAATGTTGCTAATACAAGATATTTTTGACTTCAACTCATTATTTGGCATTGTATTATAATAAACAGTGTTTGGAAAAGATAACCAAAAAATCATCTGGATAAGGTAACAGATAATTCATTCAAAATTTATCTAGATAAGATAAAATATAACATAATTTTTTTTATCTAGATAAAGATAAAAATACTCATACATTTATCTAGATAAAAATAGATAATTGGTTTTTAAATTATATTATAAATAATGTAATTTATTAGTAATTACTAATTAGGGAATATTTATTAATTAATAAATCCATCATTGTGTGATCCATCATCCATGTCATTTCTCAACTAAAATAATATACAATTTTAATTTTTAATACAACTTGAATAAAAATAAAATAACAAAATAAAACTGACAATATTTTAGTAAGCATTTTTTTTTTTTTAAACTATAATAGTATTGGAATCACTACTAGGTTCTCTTAAATTATTGGCTATTTCAGTATTTAAAAATATTCTTATTATTATATTATTTATCTATATAAATTACCACTGATAACCATTACATTTATCCAGATGAGATAATTAGATGATTTAATTATTTTTATCTAGATAATTGAATAATTCCCAACACTGAATTAATAAGTAATGACAGATGCAAATACATAGGTACTAAATAAGAATACCTATTTATATAACTCTATCGGGAACTAAACTTGATTGTACGAGGATTTTTATTGTTTAAAAATTAATCGTAAAACGTAATATTGACCATTTTTATCAATGATATAATACCAACTTCATAATTAAACCGTTAAAGTTAAGGTTAAGTTACTTACTTACCTACACTTGGTCTGTTCCCCCATAATACTTACCAGCTACTACTATATATAATATATCGTTGCTTATGACTGTATCCATGAGCTATGGGTATACATAATATGAATAATATAATTATAATATGATTAATATGTATATTATAATTATTTTTTTGACTAATGTATATTATTATTTATAATACATTTATCTACAAATAGGTTGTCTTGAAATTACTCATGTTGATTACCTACTTATATTCATCACACAAGGAATACATTAAAACTATTCCATAAATCCGACTGTACTGAGTACTGAGTAGCCCAAAAACCAAAAAAAAATATAGAAATAAATAACAGATAAGGAAAGTTTAATTTCACAGTTTCCTGGTTTCATTTGAAAAGCGTTTTACTAAATTATGTACAAAAAAATCGAATATATGATTGACAGTCGCCTTTGATCGGATCGACACCCTCGTCGTTACTGTCGTTCGTGAGACATATTATCATATTATATATTATTCTGTAACGGTAAATTGGCGGCCTTTGCACAATATAACTATATAATAATATTGGCTAAAGTGAACTTTACCACCCCATGCATATTTTTCGATTTTTTTTTTTGGAACTTGTGTAACTCATCGAGTTAAGAACGATGGTGCAATTAGAATTTGTCGCTCTCACTTAGTTTCGAAGTTATGGCCTTTGGAAGTAAGCAATTTTGCATTTGTTTACGCATGAGCGCAACGCTACGTGTCACGTCTTTCACGATTTTTTTTTTCTTATTCGTGAGACTACTAAATAAAAAATAAACGAGTGAACAAACACGGGACTAAGAGAGGTCAACTTCACTAGAACGCAGCACTTGACGTAATGACATTTTAATTGTGTATTAAAATATAGTTTCTTTAATAATATAATCTAAAATCGTATTTATAATTGAATGATTATTATCAGGTATAATGCGAGAATTTATTTAAACCAGATTGACTATTTCTACTTCCAGGAGAGGAATATTTTTAATTGTCCGAGCGAGCGCTGTAACCCTGTGACCCACTTGGGGAGGTGTTGCATAGCAAATCGGGGGATATTTTCGTTTTTAATTGTCCGAGCGAGCGAGTGACCCCACTCGGTGACTCGGTGCAACAAAAATGCAATTTTCTTAACCCTGTGACCCACTTGGGGAGGTGTTTCATAGCAAATCGGGGGATAAATTATTATTGCCCTATCGTTCTAAACAGGTTAGAATACGTAAGTACAAAAAAATAACAAAAATAGTCATCCGCGCGGCATTATAGAGTAGTGTTGCGCGCATGCGTATAGACGTAAAATTGAAAACTTTGGAAAGCCATAACTTCGAAACTAAGTGAGAGCGACAAATTCTGATTGCACCATCGTTCTTAACTCGATGAGCTACATAAGTTCCAAAAAAAAAAAATCGAAAAATTGCACTTGTTCCAGGGGATAACCAGAAGGATCGCGTATTCGTGTCAGCAGGCAACAGCTGTTAAGTTATAACCGTTATCAGATGAGAGTAAGAGACCAAACAATTGATAACAAAAAATTTCTAAATCTGAGGTCGTATCTATCGTCGGTTTTTTCGTTTTACTTTTACGTTTGTGTAAGGTCCAGTTACTTTACTGCTAAGTGCTGAGGTAGGCTGTAAATTGAATTCACTGTCTGTATCTTTGAATTCTTTAACCCAAGACAAAGTACAATTTGTAGGTTTGACTGAAAAAAATGAAGATGATCGGTGAGTGAATAATAATATTATTATATCAATGTGTATAATATGGTGTGATATGGTGCAATTTAATTTAGTTGTCTTGTTGTATGACTTCTAACACCTAGTTAAAACTGTATACGTATTTTGTTTCTTTATTTTTTCAACATCTTTTACTTAAAAAATATTAAAAGATGTGTTGCAGGGCAAACCTTTTTTGTTTTTTTAAATAATTATTATTCTATTGAACATTGTTGTCACACTGCACACAAATTAACTCAAATAATAATATTTAAAACTAATATTATGGATTCTATTATATTGATTAATAATTAAGGCCGCCCAAGTCAAATCCTGTCGGCCTCCAAGAGCATCAATTGTCTATTGAAGAATCCCGCGGTCACCCAAATCTGCCTCAGAAATGAATCTACCAAAATCCAACCGGCATCTCAAGACACAAATATAGAAGGTTTGTTATCAATTTTATTATTATTATTATTGTATCATTTTTACATAGTATACAATTAAATACAATTTTCGATTTTTATCAGAAAAACCATATCGTCCGTACTCACCATTTCAAAAAACAAACAATATGGCTGAATATGCTGTTGCTCGATTGGACGATGTCTTGAATTGGGGTCGTAAGGTATTTAAACAATAAATAATTTTTTTTTGTCATATTTTGATTTTAATATTTATTGAATAATTTTCAGCACTCCCTCTGGCCTTTGACTTTTGGATTGGCATGTTGTGCTGTTGAAATGATGCATATAGCTGCTCCTCGATACGATATGGATCGATATGGTGTTGTATTTCGGGCATCACCTCGTCAGGCTGATCTTATTATAGTTGCGGGAACACTGACAAACAAAATGGCACCAGCTTTGAGAAGAGTTTATGATCAAGTAAGTGAGGCTTTTTTTCCTTATTTAATTGATTATTTACCTATAAATGTTCATAGATGCCCGATCCAAAATGGGTTATTTCAATGGGAAGTTGCGCAAACGGTGGTGGTTACTATCATTATTCATACTCTGTAGTAAGAGGATGTGATAGGGTTATTCCAGTCGACATTTATGTACCAGGTAAATAAACAAGCATTGTTGTTGTGTCAAAAAATGTAATGTAATTCAATGAACAACTTACTGTGTACCTTAGCTTCTGATAACATTTAGTAAATATTTTTTTAAATATTGCCAGCAATATTTATTAAATTTACATGGATAGTAAATATCATAAATTAAGTTTTATTAAATTCAACATTTTTCTATTGGTTTTAATCTCTATTCCTAAGTATGTGTATGCTAAAAATATTTTTAATATTTAAATGTCCTTTAGGTTGTCCACCAACTGCAGAAGCATTGATGTATGGTATCCTACAATTGCAGAAAAAAATTAAAAGAATGTCACTTGCCCAGAGTTGGTATAGAAAGTAATTTGTTGTTTTTGATCATCTATAACATTAATGGTTTCGTGTATTACATATTTCACCAATTGTAAAAATAACATTGCCTGTGAAACACCTATTTATGTTATACAATATAGATAATAGTTTAGTATTTCTAAATATATCGCTGATTTGAACTGTACATCTTTGTATTGTTATGATTCCCTTTAATTGTTGTAAAAACATAAATGGTATGATTTTAATAAAATTATATTTTCTCTAAATTTATTGACTGCTACTACTTAGTAAGCTATGGTATAAAATAACAATATTTATTATTATTGATACTAAATTTAAAATTAGTAACTTTTAGATTCTGAGCAGACCGATATTTTTTTTCTGTGTCTAATAACTCTCCAATTAAAATTTTTAATTAAATCCATATATCATAACCAGTAGGTAGGTATTCATATTATACATACTAATAATATTATTATAATGATGATATCATGAAATAAAAAATTAATAAATAAATATGAAGGGGTAATCGATGAAATTTATATAAATTATAAATAGTAGGTATATCCTATACCATTCCTATATAATCTATATTATTATTGTTTAATAGCAATAATTAGATATTATAGATCTATTAGTTTTGAAATATAACTATAATTTTAGCTGATGTTTAAAATTAATTTTGTTGATAAATTTAATACGGTTTAAGACGTTGAGAGGTTTTCTCAATTCAGAGTCTTAGAATGATGGCGATAGACAATAGTGTTGAAAGTTTGAAAAGAAATGATTTTTTTATTGCAAGTTGGTAGGTACACTCAATGACACAATATAAACTATTTGTTTGACTATATAAACATACAATATAATATGTAGTATTGTAGTCCAATAAGTTGAGTCATATTACATTATTATTTATATTTTTTTTAATTAACTTCTTTTGGGTATAATTTGCTGTGCATAATATGGAAGCAAAATCTTATTATATTTTAATTTTTAGCCATCCCGCTTGGCGTTGCCCGTGATACTCGCTTATGGTTATGTGAACAATGAACAGTATAAATGTATAATATTATCAGGTAGGCAATCTGCGGTACATTGCGGACACAGCGAGGTGGGTGATAAAATAAAACATATATAACTATATTAGTATATCTTTGTAGTTCAAAAAAAATGTTTATACAGTGTAGGTACACTACCTAAAATAGTATTGAAGTCATCGTTGATCATCGCACATTTTTAGGAGCATTTAATATTTATTTATTAATATATTTTGGGAGTTATTTTATTTTATTTTAATTCATTTTATTTTTACCGACAAATCGACGTAATTGTACCTAGTTTTGTAAAATAATTCGCATATATAACCTGCAACCAAAAGTGACCATTAATAAACGAAAAAAAGAATTTCCATCCTGAATCTTAAGAACCCTGTTTGACATCTCTTTAAAATATCAATATCAGAAAATCCTTTCTTATTGCACATCTAAATCAATAAAGGAACCACTTCCAAATATCAAGTAGGTACATACGTTTTGTATTTTTAAACCAAAATTGTATATTTAAATTAGATAGATATTGCTTGATAGATGGCGCCACTATTGTATTCTGATAACCCCTTATTTTCCCCTTTAGGGGTTTAATTTCCTAAAATCTTTTCTTAGCGAACGCCTAAATCATAATAGCTATCTATATGCCAAATTTCAGCCCGATCAGTATAATGATTTGAGCTGTGTGTTGATAAATCAGTCAGCCAGCTAACTGTTATATATATATTATACAGATAATATAATATTATGTTTTATTCTTGGCAATATCATTTTTTATAAAAACAATTTTCATCTTGGTACCGATAAGCTGTGTGGAAATGTATGTTGAATGCGGTAGGTATGTCGATTTTAAATTATGAAATTCAAGGTCATATAATTAAAGTTTGTAGGTAGGTTTTAGGTGCGTACAACTGTGGTACAACGTATTCCCTTACTTATCAATTAACATTCTGTAATTAAAATTTCCGTAAACCAGTTTTATGATATATTTTCAGTCTTTTTCCATTATATAGGATTAGGTAGGTTCTTAAAACGAATGTATAACTTTATAGTTGTGTACATTTATTTACCCATAAGGACCTTAGATACCTCCTACGTAATATTAACGGACAAGGGACTTATATATCTTATAAGAATATACGTATAATAAGTGTAGGTAAAAAATGTTTAAAATTTTTTGAGTTGTTCATGGATAATTTCAAATTTAAATTTTTTTAGTCTTTTTTTCTATAAATATCAATAAAATATTATTTATTTGGCCAAAAAGCGTCAAAATTTAATACAAGGCTTCTGATATACTGCTTTTTGCTTAAATAGCAGTTGAAAAATATTTGAAATTAAATTTTTAATTTGAAACTTTCATTCTAAAATTGAATACAAGTTTTCTCATAAGTATGCCTACCTTAATCAAAAAAAAAATATCTACCGGAAAGTCAAATCAAATTTTTATTGATTTTAATCAAATTTTATTTTTATTTTTATTGAAGTGCCATTTTTACGTCATTGGATATTCTATCGATTTGTCATGTATACAATTATGTGATTATGTGATTATGTAATTATGTAATTTTTCTTATTTGTCTTAATTCAAAAAAGAATAACTTGCTGTAGATACCTGAAATTTACACCATATGTTTATCTTATCAATTCCCATAACTGAAAATTTTTTCAAATATTTTGACTCGATTTGAGCTGTCTACGGACATTTTAAATTTTAAAATTTTTTTAGTTTTTTTCTTAAACCGTCAATAAAATTTCATTTATTGGGTCAAAAAACTTGAAAATTTAGTACAAGGCTCCTGCTATATTTTTTTGATAGCTGTTGAAAATTTTAAAAATACGCAGTTAAAGTTCGAATTTGGGCAAAATTTAAGAAATATTTTGTAGATAAAAATTTATAAAATGTTTAATTTTTATACCTAAGGATTGAACCTAAGGATTGAACATTTTAAACAAAGTTCCCGTGTATAATATAGGTAAATAAATTACTAATATCAATTAATATAAATGATATTATAGTCTGACCGTCTTCGCTCAGAATGTTTTTCTTATACAATATCATTGAATTCAAATTTAACACCGTCCCATAGACCTGAATAACCTGATATGTGTCTATGCACTATCCATTACAGACTATAGTAGCGTATCTAGGATTTTTTCAAGGGGGGATATACAATTTTTAATACACATTCAGTATACACCATGAACTAAGATAATATTATCTTAGTTCATGGTATACACTATGCGTATATTGTATTCACATTACTATATACATGTTATAACTTATATTGTGTACAAAATATGGTCTCCGAGGTGGGGATATGACCCCCATATCCCCCCATAGATACACCACTGGCCACTGCTGTGATCCAATACAGCGACACTCACGTCTTGCCGACTCACGACCATATGAGTATATGACAATATATGCTCACGACTCACTAACAAAAATCTTCTGGATCCGCATTTCGCGCCTGATTTAAGATAATATGTATAATAATATTATATTTGCCTATGGTACATCTTAAATCGTGGTATTTATATGTAACCGCTCGTCGTTATCACTGGACCGTTGTATTATCAACAATCAGCATCAAGAGAACGGAGACAGTTCATGTTGGGCAACTTTGGAATAAACTTGTCGACTACGAGGTCTCAGACTAAATAATATGCACGAAATCGCAGTAACAACTAATAATAATATAATAATATTATAATTAATACGCGTACCTATCACATTCACAGTAATAAATAATAATAATATCCCCATGATTTCGATCACGCCTTTTATAATACGTTGACACGTCGTGCGCGCTATCATTTTGAACCCCCCAAACGATCAGAGAATAAATTATTTATCATTATTATTGTTACAAGGAAAAAAATGATAAAAACAATATTATAATCACGGACTAAGATATACAGGACTGGACACGAAAAGGTTGGAGGGTGTGGGGGGGTTGACTACGAAATGTTTTACAACAGGCAGTGTTCGGGGGGATATTTTCCTTTTAGCATTACTAGCGCCGTCCTAGTGGATACTTATGGAACTAGAACACATCATACAAATTTCTAGTTCCATAAGTATCCACTAAGACGGCGCTAGTAATGCTAAAAGGAAAATATCCCCCCGAACTCCGCCTGTTGTAAAACATTTCGTAACCACAATATTCATCTCGTGTCCAGTCCTGTATATCTTAGTCCGTGATTATAATAGTTCGCGCACAGCTGCAGCTGACGACTACCACCGCGACTACGAATTTTCAAGTTGAACCTGTTCGTCGTTGATTCGTAGTGGATTTGTGTTTCCTTTTTATCGCCTATCGGTCCGATTGGTCGCAGACCGCAGTAAAATCTTTCCAATTTTCCGAGTTGGACGCGTCGGCGGCCCGGCCGAATCACTTGTTCTCCGCAATCTTCGTCTCGAGCACACCCATAGGTACCTTATACTATAATAACATCGCCGTTGGGTTCGGCCCACACGTCCGTCGATATAGGGTGAGTACGAAAGTTTTTAACCACTAACCGCGATCAAAGTGCCCGTTGGGCCAATGTGAGTACGTGACCCCTTCATGTCTTGTCGGGTTACCCGGTAGTACCAGTTTGCGTGTAAAGGTCTTTAGACATATTTTGCTTGTCCGTGGCGACAGGTGCGATGTTTTACATTTTCACCCTCGTTCATGTTATGTTACCATTTTGTTTAGTCACTTCGGGTGGCATACAATTGGAACGTAGGCTGATCCTGAATTATACTCAGTTATCTTTGCATAGAATTTATTGGCTTTTACTCTCCAACAGGTGACGATGCAGTGTAGCATTCGTCGACATTTCCTGCCGACGTTTTGTCCATTGCCGAGTTAAACGGACGACTTCATCATGCCCACCAACGGTCACGATCATGAAGAACTGGTGGTTTTGCCACCAAACGCCTTGGACATGAGGACAACAGGGGGGAATAACAACAACAATAATAATAATAATAACAACAATAATCAGGCGTTCAATGTACGGGACCGCCTGTTCTATGCTCTGTTCTATAAGGCCACCTTGGGGTATGCAAGAGTGTTCCCAAGATCTCTGAGGAGGCTTATAGAATTTGTATTTTTATTAAAGGTAAACTTTTGCTCTATACCATTGGACGATGTTTACAATTTTTTTTTTTTGATTTTAGGCTGTCTTATCATTTTTTGTGCTTGTGTATGTGCACATGAATTTCTCTCGAATGCCAGCCAATTGTTTAGACCATGTTAAAGACGTATGGCCTAGAGACGGTATACTCCGAGTGGAGATTATTCGAGGTTTTCAACGTATCCATGCAGAACAAACAGGCACGATAAACGATTTATTCACAGTAGAAAAATCATATGAACGTGAATATAAACTAAAACGTATGGATTCAAGTGAAGAATCATTGTTCAACCGCTTTATTAAAACTAATAGTCCTGAGTAAGTATCCAATAATTATCAACTATAAAATTAATTTGTTATATTGTTCTAAACATGTAGTTTATTTATTTAATACCTACTGAAAGTTAATCTTCTGACAATACATTTATCAACTAAATGAAACTAAAATATTTTATTGATATTCAAGTTTTTAGAAAAGATCTCTAGTACCTATTAAATATTTATGAACTAAAGTTTTCTTTTCAAAATTCATATGTTATTAAAGTCTGTTGAGTATATTATGTTTCTAATGGCGGGTAGCATAAAGAACAGTCTGTAAATTTGTTACTGGCCCTGTAATTTATTCATTCTATAATGTTTGTGTTATGCTATGCTAGTGTTGCATGAAGAAATATTAAATTATTGATAACCTTGATTAACAAATAAATTAAACCACCAATAACTATGATAACATCAATGATGTTTCATCGATCTGTAAGCTACCGAACTAAAATCCGATCTGTAGTTTATAGGTCTGGTAATCAATTGTTTACAGAACTTTTAACACTAATCAGGCGTTTAAGCAATACCAGTTTTATTTACGGAACCGTCAAAAATTCCGATAACAGTTTGATAAGTCGCCACAGGACGTTTATGCAATCCACCCTAAGGGGTTTTTTACACTTTTGAAATTTATTTTTCTTAATAGTTTTTAAATATTATAAAATCATGTTTTATAGAAGGATGTTGAACAAAATCAACAAACTTTTCATTTAAATTACATTTTTTTTTCATTGGCATTTGTATTGGTGCTGTTTAAATTAATGTCTAATTATAATGTCATCATTAGAGTAAAAAAACTAAAAAAAAGCAATAAAGCTTTTAAAAAAAAACATTAAAAATGGGTTTTAAAAAAAATATTACAAAAAAATTATTGAAATTATTTATTAGTTCATTAAATTCTTTTTTAAAAAAGGTATTATAATACATTTATTTACAAGCCTGCTTCTTCCAGTTTTCCTTCTTCCACAATTATTAATCTGTAAATTAAATTTATTCTATTTAAGATAATTTATAAAAAATAAATGAAATAATAGTTATGAAATGATTTTTTTACCTATATCATCGGAGTTGTATTGGACAATAAAAACTTTTTTCAAGTTTTCAATTAAAAATGTGTATACCTCATTGTAATAAAAATAATTATTTTTTAATATTGTTGTTTTTGAAATTTTTTAGGCTGTATAAATGGCATAAAAAATCCAAACCTAAAATTTTTATTATTAGATATGGGTATTTAAATTAATTAAAGTATGGGGTTTGCTCTTGTTTTGTTGATATCTAACGATCCTTGCTTAATTTTCTTTTACTAGCTATATTACTAGTACATGTGGTTTTTGTTTAGAAATTATTTATTACAGATTCTTTTTGTTAGCTAATGTATGTGTTGCACAATATTGATTTCTGTGTATTGCTTTATTGACATGGATTTGTGTATTGTCCGGTACAGATGTCATTTATGACTTAATCTTTCATAATGATCTAGTTTCCTATCACATCATTAATTACATGTTAACTGTTATTATTCCATTATAACTTTGGTTTTTAAATATGTGTTGGTGTAGGGTACTTTTAGTTAGATTTTGGTAAATCCCAACTATCAAGATTATTATAACTGAAACATAGACATCAATCTGCAACCTAATTTATAACTCATTTTATTGATGAACAATTTTTCTATCAATGTTTGACAATTTTCCTACACATAATATTATTTTTAATTAATTAAAAATATGCTAGGTAAAACATATAATTTGTATTTAAAAAAGTTTAACTATTTTTGTAAAATTATATTTCAGTTATGAACTTATTTATCACATAAATATCTCTTACATAGCCACATAGGTATTATTTTATGTATCCATTTGATTTATTTGTTTCTTATTAAATGTGTCTATCAACATAATGAAAATATTAAGACTACAATTGTTAAGTAATAAGTATTTTTTGTTTAACCTTAGTTCAATATTATAAATTATTAGATTTTAGTTGTAACTTGTAAGTACAAAAAGAAAAATGTAGATTAGACTTAAATGAATATATTTTAAATATTTTATAATAAAAATATATGATAATTAGATCTGTCTGTACGTGTATAGGTATATTTATTGATTAATATTAATATTAAGTATAGTATAAAGCATATTTTAAATTATCTTATGACTAAATATTCTTTTTTAGGAACAAAGAAGAGGTTGATATTGAACCATCAACAGAAGAGTTAGTTGAAAATAAATTTAGAGAGACAAACACCCCAAAACCTACCTTATTCAACTACTTATCATTTACAAATTACATAAACTTTGAAGGTAAAATGTATTCTAAATAAACATAGGTTGTACATATTTTGGTGCTAATTCGGTATGCGCTCTACCGGTTTTGGCGTTCTATACTCGGTCTACGTTCGGTACACGGATATTGGACTGCAATTACTATATAATATGCGTTATCTGCCTCGTTTTTATATAATATGTTGGGTATTTCTTTCAACTGTTAATAATCTTGATAATCTCTAATTATCTTTACCTTAAATTGTATTACTGTTGGTTTTGCTTTTAGTACAGTCGTCACTTAACGAAGGTTGTTCGTTACGAGTATATAAATTATATAATAATTTTATGTTAATAATAATAATTTTTTTTTTATTGATCTTGAGCCCGACAACTAAAGCCATTAGCTATTTTTAGTTTTGTTTGTAGGTTTTTGTTGGAATTGGGAGGAACACTTGTGTATTTGTTCGGCAGAATTTTTGATTTGGGCACCCATAGGTATCTGCCATGCCCGGAGATAAATGCCGCCCATGGCCGAGGTGTCGAACCAGTGTCGGCTGCGTGGCAACCAATGCCTTGGTCCGCTCGGCCACTCCGTCTCCCTAATAATAATTATTAATACCACATACCTAATATTATCTAAATTTTTTTCGTGATATGTATGAACATATTAAATTGTTGTGTTATTGTTTAGAAGTATAGAACAATTCATATTATTTTTTTGATTAAATGATATTAGTTTCATAAAAAATTAGTATTAACTATTAAGGATTCAAAAATGAAGTTAATTAAAAATTTAAATAATATTTCTAGGTACTTATCAATTACAAATTGAATTTTTGAATATTAAATGAATACAAATTATAACTAATTTATTTGAAAACAATAATTATTTTTATAAGTTAATATATGTATTCATTTAAAAATTAAGTGTAGGTAATTCCATTTATAGTTATTAATTTGATACTGTAGCTTCTTGAAATATTTAGTACTAACTGTATATTTTATAAAACGTATAATTAATTAAATTATTTTTTTTTTTAAAACCTTTAATTGTTATTAATTTTATGTGAAGAATATAATTGTTTTCAATTTTTCTTTTTTTGAAAAAATCTCATTTTTAAATATTAATCCTATTTCGGTAATTAACATTAATTAACGGACATCAACAAAAAGTATACTGAAAGTAGCATACATACAAAATATATAATCTTTCAATCATGTAATATATGGGTAATATTAAATATATTTCATATTTTTATGTGACTTATCAAAAGTTCAATAGAGGCACAGTGTTTGGTTAGGTTGTGCCCGTCTTAAATATTTTATCCAGCAAAAGATAGTCTTAGGTACATATCAATAGGTATTTTTAGTATTATAATAACTATATTATATTTGTCAATAAATAATAATCAATTTTTTTAATTTATTTTCAGTATAAAATTATGTTCAATGGAAATTTTTTTTTGTCTGAGACGCGATTGAGCATAAAACATCTTTTTTGAGACACGATTGAGCAAAATTGTCAGTGTATCAAAGGAAATCAGAGTATAAAAGAAAACCTACACGATTGAGCATAAAAAACTCTGCAACGTTGCCATTTTCAATTTTAAACAATATTATACAAAAATATTTATTTAAATAATTATAATAATTATAACATATCAAAAAAATAACATTGTTTCATAGGCAAAAAATATAGTCACATTTCATAAATCAGTTTGATAATATTAATAATAATGATAATAATAATAATAATATTAGTTATGAAAATAATAAAATCAAAATATGGTACGAATAAAAAAAAATATCTGCATGTCATATAAGTCAAGAATACTGTAGAGTATGGGTGATCGAACACTGATATTATTTCTATAATAATTTTTTAATTATATTTTACTTCATTATCTTATATTTTCCCCCAATTTTAAATGTTTAAAATGTCGGAACTTTATTGCTCCGGAACTAATTTATTAATCCATAACATTGTCGATAAAGCCTGTGCTCAGCTCATGGCTCGAGTCTGGTATCATAATAATTGGTGTAATAATATGTGAAAGTAATAAACTACAAAATTTCTGCAACATCGCATAAAATATTCCATGCTCAATTGTGTTGCTAAAAAGGTGTATGCTCAATCGTGGTTAACCATTTTTTTTTAGTAGAGCTTTGTGGTGAAATTGTTTTTAAATTCATATTTGTTTTGAGCATTATTATAGATAAATTAATTATTACATTAAGTTATAACTTTCAGACTCCTTTAATAATTCAAATAGTTTCACAAATTATAATATGGTTTTACAGTCACCATGAAATATATTTTATACTTTTATAGTTTTAAGGATTATTTTACACAAAATCAGGGGTTATTCGCAATTGGTATATCTAATATATATTTACATAATGATACACATTTTTCATTTGTTTAGTTGGTACATTAATTATTTTTTTTTTTTTTTTTTTTTAATGCAGATGAGAAAAAAGAAATGTTTAGCAGTACCACTAAGACGAATCGGCATACCACCAGTAAATCAAATTTTTCGACAGTAGAAGACTCAGCAGAATTTCGTTCCACCAAGGTACTCGTAATATTTAAATTGAATATTATAGACCTGGTATTATAATAAAAATATATTAATCTTTTTCAGTATCCAAATAGTTCTATTAGAGGTGTATTGGGAATTGATTCATTACTCACTTCTACAAGTACCAAATTACCTTCGATCGACGACAGTGAAGGTATCTATATTATATGAGTTGTACCTTGTAAAATGGGCTTGAATGGAACTTGTCAATGAAAATGCATAAATTATTTTTTCCCTTATTGTTTAGTAATATATTACGAAAATTACATTGTTGAATATTCATTGGAGTACGGGTTCTTGCGTTTATCGCCCAGTGCCAGAAATCGGTTAGGCATTCCTGTAATGCTAGTAGCCCTAGAGCCTACTCTGAATAAGTGTTTTGGCGATTCGGTGGGTCAGTTTTTCTTGGAGTATTTCCTTGGCTACGATGACTTACTGATGTCCTCTGTTAAATCACTGGCTGAAAACGAACAAAACAAAGGATTTCTGAGGTAAAGACTTACTCTCAAAGACTTACGGTTTGTTGTAAATAATTTAAATTTATTACTATCGTGTAGATGATAATTATTGTTTAATATTTCAGAAACGTCATTACTGGAGAACATTACAGATTCGTGAGCATTTGGATGGCCAGAACGTCTTACATTGCATCATTCTTCATAATGGTAGTGTTTGTGAGTATAACATTTTTGTTTATTATGTACAGCTTAACAAAAAAACTCTTATTTTAAGCAGTGCCATCTAGTTGTTACTCAAAAGTTCAACATTCCCTTGCAATAAATACTTTTTAAAATAAACGATGAAACAACCAAATGTTTACTGAACATTTGTTGTAATTCTCAAGTGAATAGAACCATAGTGGCTCGAGAAACTATTTCACCAAATATTTATGCAAGCATATTCATTTAATTTTTCAATTCATCATTAAATTAATAAAAAAATTTGTAGGGCATTTTTTAGAGATTTTAGGTCATATAAATGCATTTTTTGAAAATGCTTTTAAATCCGAGCCCTATTTTATTAAGCACTATTAAATTTTGATAAAATTGATATTGACGTGTAAAATATATATGATAACTCTGATCAAATGAGTTTAGTTTTGTTGTATCTTAAAAATTATTAATCTTTGAAACTTGAAACTTTTAAAAATATTTAGACTCAATTTAACCTATTTATTGCCATTTAACACTTTTTAAATTTGTATTTTTTATAGTGTGTATAAAAAGGTTTATTGTTCGTCAATAAACTTGAAATTTTAATACAAGGTCCCATATTATAGTTTGTTATTTTAGCAATTTAAAATATTTAAAATACATATTATATGCATGCCTTTTATTTATAAGCGCTTGAAGTTCAAATGTTGACATAATTTGTAGAAATCACAAAATGTTGTAAATTATTTTGTAGTTACGAATTTATAAAATGTTCAATTTCTATGGCTAAGGCTAAATAATATTCAACTTCAGAGTCTCTTCTGGTAGGAAAGTCAATCTAGTTAGGGTATTTGAGAGGTCAAAGTTGAAAATTCACAGAAGTTTTCAAGTGTCTGGGTAAAAAAAAAGAAAGAAAGAAAGAAGAACTGACATTTTTACGCAAAATCAGTTTTTGATGTAACCGAAAAACGAATAACAGTAAATACTTGATATACAATGATGATTAAATTTATTTTAAAATTAACAAAAACATTGTAGTGACTTACTCAATGACGTGGAACACTCATCTATACAGCTGAATGTGTAACTTATTCCCCCCATTTTTTTTTTATTATTTATACACTTTATATTTTTTACTATTATTATAATAATTATTCTATTAGTTTAAACTATAGAATAATAAACTATAATATTATAATAACAATTTTCAGTGGCGTATTTACGGGGGGGGGGGGGTCCCCGGGTCTGGACCCCCCCAGAAAAAAAAAAAATATAATATAATTATTACATCGTAACTCGTATGTGTTTTTTTTATATTATAAACTTGTAGGTACCTAATATTTAGACCCCCCCCAGAAAAAATTTCAAAATACGCCACTGACAATTTTTTGAATTATATAAAAATTTCTCTCTCTAGGTTCGTGTTTGGTTTTTGGTTTGAGCTGACCCTCATTAATCAGGGCCAGTAACGTCACAAATTATTTATAAATATACATTCATGATTATTCTGGTATAGAAATTAAGATAGCGGTGTTGTATGTTATCAACACAATACATATTATCTTAGAATTTTAATAAATGATGTCGTATTCTACTACGTGTAAAATGCTGTCTACTCTTGATTTGATGATCGTACCTTTACTTTAAACCAAAGCACTTTATGGATGACTTTTAATTTCAGTTGAGAGGTATTTTTCATATTGTCTTAAAATTCTACACCTTTTTGGTTTAAAAATTCGCACAAGTTTCGTCAGTATAAATGATTTGCTTATATAAATAACCAATTACAAATACACATACACAATACACATACACAATACACATGGATAGTTCACAAATACAACTAATCATTACGAGTATGCTGCCCATGCATTTGTTGTCTTCGTCGTACACACGTACGATATATCAAATTTTGGTTCACTAGCTTCAATAGTGTGCTGTTAGTTTTGATATTAGAGTGATGACCCATTATCAATTTTTTAGATAATAATATTATCTGTGTTTAAACGTTGGCTTTTATTCAATATTTTAATTTTCAAGCGAGATATGATCATTTTTAATTTTTGATATTTCACATACCCATATATTGCTTGAAAATGAAAATTTTGAAAAATTGGCAATGGTTATAAGCACAGCTGATAATGTTCTTATCTAAAAGTTTTATAATAGGTCAATTCACTCTAGTATCAAAACTATAACAGCACACTATTGAAACTAGTGAACGACAATTTGCTATGTAGTGCGTGTGTAAGACGGAAACAACAATTGTATGGGTAGCGTCCTCTTAAATCTTTTAAATGCACAAGACACCAAAATTAACTAATTATTTTTAAAACAATTTATGTTTTAGATTCTGACAATAGTGAAAAATGTATTGATTTTAAAATGATGTGTTTTTTTTTTCGTTTGTCACCAACATTTTGAGTATTAAAAATGCTCCGATTTTCGAGATCAGCTTCTTTTCTGATAGAAAAGTGAATCTAGTTGTTACTATTAGTTTTAAAAAATGTCCTTAAAGTAACTTTTATTTTTTATAATCGTTTGAATTTAAAATTTTAATTAAATATTTTGTTACTATTAATAACCTTAGACATTTGAAATTTTCACCAAATGTTAAATTGACTATTTTCCAAACATGGTAATATTTACTACAGATATATGCGCCTGATACCTATATGTTTAGGCAAGTATATAGGCAGTAGCAGCGGGGAAACGAAATTCGTTTTAGAACTTAATATTCCGTAATAACTAATAAGTATAAATAATAATAACAATACTTGTATTCTTAAATTAAGTTGTTCACGTGGGGTAGTAGTCGCGTGTATTATTTTTCAACATAATACGTCTTCGATCAAATTACCGCCTGAAGTCATATATGTGAGATTGCTTGGTAGCAGCGACATAATGATTAAGAAAACCAATAAGAAAGGAGTGCGTGAAATTAGATACGATGTTTTATTCCCCCGAGATATGAATTCCCATATATTCTCTTCCTCCTGTTGCCAATTACTATAGCCGAATTTTCCCCCTTTCGTTGGATTTAAAAAAACGTATTTGGTATGAAAATTTGGTTTTTTTAAATCACCTCAAACTTCCGGCTGGCGCATAGTAAGTAATTTATTTCAATTGAAAATAATTTCGACTCGTTTAATTACGCGAATATATCATACATATAGGTGATGTGTTATTATTATACATTAAATCATATATTTTGTCGAATTATCTATTCAAAATGAAATAATCGCAATATCTCGTTCGATTTTGCGCAATTGGCAATCGTAGTTTATTGCGTTATCTATACATATAAAATCCAAATACCACTCACTCACTGATCGCTGTATATCAAAAACTACGCAACATACGGACTTGAAATTTGGAATAGAGGTTCTTCTCATATTTTCACAATAAGAAAGGATTTGCCGAAATTCGCATTTTAAATAGGTGCTAGATTCACGATGGAAATTGGAAATTTTATTTTTATTTATTTATTAATAGTTTCCATTGGTTACAGTCTACAGTAGAAATTAGCATTTATTTATTATTGGTTGCTATTGATTATTCGGGCAGATCAGGTACAAGCTTGCATCAAATCGAATTATTGAACATTATTGCTTATCAGGGTGGCTGAGTTGCACTTACCGCAGCAAGTTACACCCAAAAGGAGTTGAACAATCATAATTTTTTTAAGAGTTTTATTATTAAGTTTTTTTATTAGTTTTATTAATTTTTTATATTAGTCCACCGTATTATATCAAAATAAACTTGGTAAAACTTTGATACTTTAGAGTTAAATCATACACTTATGTACAAACACAACTGGGTTTGCGATCTACCGCAGGTAGATTGCCTACCTGATATATACTGCTGCGAATCAGAATTTTTATTCCAGGCAACAGAATAGTTAAGATAAATTTTGAACACCATACACCGAATTTTAAATAACGAATTGAACAAAGTTTGAGTCATAAAGAGTTGGTACATTTAACGGGCAACGAAGTGCACAGGATCAGCTAGTTTATTATATAAACCATTGATTTTAATGGAACAGTAATAATTATATATTATGATCGAACTATTTAGTGATTATATTATATAGGATTCGATTAAAAAATAATATTACAATTAATAATTTGTTTTATCCTTCTTTCTTTATATTTTGAAAACTATCAGTTTATAGCGGGAATAAATTGAAATACAGGTAACATTCAATTAGAAAATTATTTAAATTATACAGGGTTCACGAAGTTATAACTTCTCTACAATAGAGTGTGATAGTCTTACGTAATTTTTTAATAAGAAACAGCCGTTGTATACTATGTTTTTAGGTTTAGTTGATTAAAACTAAAAACTAAAAACTTCATGGTTTGAATTAATTGATTATTTAATGTAATTTATTACGTATTTTATTCATTATTATTTTTAATTTGGTACCTAATTTTTAAAATATATAAATTGTCAACATTTTAAATCTCTAAAATAACATATTATATTTTGTGTGTCGTACTTGTAAAAAAAATGAATTTTCTACTGTTCTCAGTTACTGAAATGATTTTTATTATTGCGTTTATGTTGCATAATTGTCCGACAGAGTAAACGAACTTGTGTTTAGACTCTAGAATAATTGTCCTCCAATTCGACAAGTTTAATATTTTTTTTATTAATTTTTTTTTATTGAGCTAGAGCCCGGCAACTTTGCCCATTAGCTGTTGGTTTTTGTTTGTTAGTTTGTAGGTTGTTAGTAGGGGGAGGAACGGTTGAAAACACGTTTTTGTATGTGTGGCAAGGATTCGTTGCTAAAAATCCCGGGTGGTCACCCATCCGGGAACTAGCAACACCGGCCGTTACATACACTCAGTGCTTTGGTAATGAAATTAGAAATATGCTTGGTAAATGCTTATTATTATTATGTATTGTACCTTCTACAGTTATTATTTATAAACTTTGTAATTATACTTGCATAAAAGTATTTAATTATCATCGGGCATTCGGGCCTATGATTTTACCGCATTCGCATGTTTTTGTTACTTTGGTTTTGTTTTCTTAAATCAATATTCTTTTTGAGTTATTCTCGGTATGGTCATTCTATTTTAAATTACATGCATAATTATAAATATTTACAGGATTTTGGTTGTAAAGGATATTTTGAATATTATAATTATGTGTTGAAATTAAATATTTAATAATTACTTTGAGTAAGTTGAATATTCTTTCAAATATTTTTGTAAATTCCTTTATGGGTATCATATTTTTCATAATTTATAATTCTATACAAATTGGCGATCTCAAAAGCAACCAAAGATCTTATTTTTGAGTTGGGTATTAAAGTTGATTCCAATATGTATATATATATATATATAGGGTGTCCCGTGAGGATTTACTCATTGCGATATCTCCTGCAATAATGGAGATATCGTAATTATGTTTTTTTATTAAGACTCGCAGAGGTAAGCACTACAAATATTTTATTTTTTAATTAAATTAAATTTTTTAGTAAAAAAGTTAAAAAAATTATTTTTTTATTTTTGAAAAAATTGAAGATAGCCATTCTATAGAGTATATTTTTGTGAACATTTTGAGCTTTTAACATTTTATTTTCATTAATCTCATGATTTTTAATAATTTTTTTAGTTTATTAGTAAAACGTCAATAAACTGGTTTTTGTCTGGGCGGCGAGTCCCCCTCTACGGCTAATGAGTAAATCCTCACGGGACACCCTGTATATTGTATTACTTTATTTTTTAACATAAATAATTTTTAGACTTGTTCCCTTCAATAGCGTATTAGCATTTACCCCGGCGTCTACCTATAGATGACAAAATATTAGATATGTTGTTGGTATTGGTAAAGTTATCTTTAAAACAGAATAACACTTTAAATAATATATTTATTATAAATAAAAATAACTTAAAAGTTTTACAAACATTTTTTTTCTTTCATCGTTTACCTAATACAATTTTTAATTAAAAATATACATAACTTAGGAATTTAAATTCGTGTGTAATCTCTTGTTTTTAGTACAATCTTAAACTGTTCTTCTACCCACATTAAATATTTGATGGCTTTTAATGACTTGTTATCTATATACTGTATATAAGTTTATTAAAATTAAACGGTTTGTATTTTTTCTTTCAGACTGTATCGATTTCAATGCTCTTGAGGTATTCACACCATCAGATATTTGTATTCATAGGTAATCTATATTATTATTATGGAGTATATAAATATGAAAATGATAATAATTGTTAAAAAAAATCTTTACATTTTGTTTATGTATCGCTGCTTATTTATTTCAGTGGATTTGCTGCAGCTATTAGATTTTCACGGCTCGCTCTCTTTTCCGGCGGCGCCACTTTTGACCGTCATACTGGCTCTGGTCGGTGAGTAAAATAAATTACGATAATAATGATCCATCCTTGTGATTTTTAGTCGCCCCGAATATTATTATTATTAAAACATTTAAAACCCTGTCAAACGGCGTACGCGTCATCGGAGTTCACTGACGCCGTGTGACGTCCGTCCCCCGAAAACATAATTTTATGCATTAACAATTAAGGACTTTGTCAACACGATAACATTGTGCCGTGTCCTGCAGTGTATGTGAGGCAATAACAATAACGCGTGGGTTGTAGTGTATAAAAGGGCTTTTGGTTTCCGATCACTATATACGTTCAGTTTATTTATTTACTGTTATTATAATAAATATTATTATTTAAATTCCTGTCAGGCATGGAGGCCATAATGTCGGAATTTTTCAACGACACCACCACTGCGTTTTACATCATATTGATCGTCTGGGTAGCTGATCAATACGACACCATATGCAGCCATTGTCCGATCACGAAAAGGCATTGGCTAAAGTGAGTACCTATATAATATAAAAGCTATTATTATTGTCGTCGTATAATATATACCCTACGGCAGGGGGTCCTAGTCAGGGGGTGGCAGATTGGGGGATGGTACTGTAGAGACAGGGGTGGGGGTATTTGTGAAGGAACTACACGAGAAAGTTGTCTCGAACACGAGTGCATCACAGTTTGACATGAGGTACAGAAAAAAAGGAGGAAGGAAGAAAAAGGGTCCATTGCAGGACTAGGAATACGAACGCGACACTACGGGGATTCCATTGACCGCCCGCCAGGAACTGTAATGAATATACCAGAATTGCACTTTTCCCCCACTCCCATTCACTCTGTCTATCTGGTATGTGCGCTTGTGCCTAAGTGTGCCAGTCTCACAGAAGTGTAACTAGATGGCTAAAAATAAAACGGTCTCTATATGTTATATATACAGGGTGTTTTCACCTTACATTTTCTATTGAATTCATGATATTTTTGGTTTTATACCCGACCTTGATATGAAAACAATTTAAATCTTTTTTTTTTGCGTTCCTTATTAATAGGAGATAGCTTGATGTAGCCGATTTATTGAGTTAGTTTATGTATTTATTTCAAAAGTCGGAATCATACTCATTTTGATTAAGTATAATATTCATATGATTGCGTCTACTTATAGGTATTATTAAAATTTAGGGTGGTGGTGCACAGTGCTAACATATCGAGACACTCTGTATATGTATATTGTAATATTTATAGACACATATGTACTACTGTTGTGTGTATACCTACATAATTGTATATTTGTATATGTAAATCGATTATGTTTCTGTTCCAGGTTTTTCTATCTGTACCACTTTTCGTTCTACGCTTACCACTATCGGTTCAACGGTCAGTATAGCAATTTGGCTCTCATTTGTTCGTGGTTCTTTATTCAGGTAATAAGAAATGACTTTTTTTATTGTAATTTTTGCTATTATTCGTGATGAATTTGATAATAGTATAATAATATATTATAAATCAACGTTCATTTTAAATTCTAATAGCGTTACCTATATCGATATCTGCGTATAGTGTTATAATCATAATAGGGTATCTTTTTTGGAATTGTCATATAGACTAAATTCCAATGGGACGCGTTTTAACTTGTTACACTGCAAGTCGATCCTTTTTTTTTAATTTGATTTTATTTGAAAAAAAATCGAGGACTAAAAATATTTTTATTTAAAATTTAAACGAAGTTAGTTATGTTAGTAAACTGTACTTGGAGGTTTTCCTGTAATATATAGTATTGATATTTCTGGTGTCTTCCATACGTAGGTACTACTTTTTACTATTAAAGGAAAACGAAATTGTATTGTTTACGGGAGACGAATGTTATTGTTGTACGCCGGTGATTTACGTGGTCGTTCACGTAGTACGCAATACATATGTACCTAATATTATGTATTTATGTTTATAGTTCCTATACATAATATATTATATTATCACTATATAGTGAGCCGATAAGGTTTTGAAAGGTCTGTTCCGGACATTTGATTTGAAGCGTTTTTAGTGAGAATATTATAATATAGACTGGAGTATATAATATATTGAGACCATGCGAAGTCTGCAATAGATCTTTGTTCGTGATGCTTTTATAGTGCTTTTCCAGCATTGTTGTTTTTTCGTTATCGGTCCTTATAATTAATTGTATATATATGAACGTGGAAAATAATACTTATAATAACTAACAGGTTCGTTACGTTTCGTTACAATCGCGTTAATTTATTATTGCCCTTGTTCTTATAACAAGTGTTTAGTGTACCTATCATATTATGTTAATCCTTATACAAGAACTATAGTCTATAATTATTTAATTTGTTTTCTAATAAATGTTCTAATGAATAAAAAAATTATTATAATATAAACTTAATATGATATAAATAGTTATGAAATATATTATTATGTATAGGTAATAATATAAATTAAATTTAGATAAAATAAATTAAATTTATCTTTAAAATATCTATACCTATGGTATTGTAGAACGTAGAAATCATAAATAAGTATACTTAATAAATAATAATGGATATAGGTAATCAAACTTGACGTATGCAATGAAATTTGTATTCCAATTTCCAGTACACAAAGTGAACGACCAGATTGTGAAATAAATCACTCGATATTAAATTGGAGTGACCATTTCATGAAACAGAGACCATTTTGTGAAATATTTTCGAATTTCATGAAGTGTAAAATATCCGTTTTTATTTCACGAAATGGTCATCTTTTCATGAAAAGATCGATTTCACGAAGTGGCTACGACATATATATATATTTCTTACCTGTGTTATGAATTCAGACAACAATTTTAAAAATGCATAATACTTTCGAGAACTTCGCGGACACGTTTTTCTTGATGCGCCTCCGATAATGCAGAATTGTATATTATAGCATTATAAGATATGCAAATTATATTTGTCGTACGTCGACAGTATTGTATAATATGTACCAACATAAACGTTGAAGGTTTTAATAATTAATCAGTCAGTGAGCGATTTTAAAAAATTAAAAATATTTCTTTGAGGCATTTTTCAAACGTTTTGTAGCAAAGTAAAATTCCACCCTTTTATTTAAGTGAACTTTTCCGCAAAGTTATATTAATGGATTTGATTTGTGTCTGAAACATTTCTCTCGATTTCTCCTCGTCAGTCCGTAAGTTCCGGTTTTTCCTTCCTCTTTCCCCTATATAAGCAGAAAACACATCTCGCAAATAACTGAGTACAGGTATACCTACTTTCTATATATATATACATTATACCTACATATAAGTATATATGCTTTTGAGGGGTGCTGTGCTTTCAAACACCATTTTACGTTTGATTACGTAGGTATTCGATATACATACACTGCTATAGTTGTTTCTGTCCGAGTACCTATTTAATATAGTAATGTCTGCGATCCACGTAATGCGGTTCAGTACCCGGCGTGCCGACGGGGTCGTTTTGCGATTATCATTATTGCTGCGTTATATTCGGGTTTGAATTCGATTTTTTTTTTTTTTTTTTACTGTTATTTGAATGCGAAATCGTCGCGTCCAGTATTGTGTTATTGTAATTAACGGACAAAAAACCCAATGGTCTATATTATTATGTGTATGGAAATTTTCGAGAACGCGCTCCGCTCACAACTGTATGTATCTGCGTGTATATATATATATAGGGTCATAAACAGAATGAATTCTGAGCGTCGACGTGTCCCGAAGGGTTGATGTGAAATTTCCATATAAATTTAACAAAGAGCACGGACCGTCTGTCCGTCCTATACCTCCTTCCGCACCCTTTCACCGTGGCCACGCTCGCATATATACTTTATGATCGAATCGTTTTTTTGCTTATTTTCGTCATTATTTTATTTAATGCATCTTTCTTTTGGGGTTACCAGTTTTATCGTATAGCATATTATAATAATAAAATAATAATAATAATATATTCACGTGAACTCAGGCGCGGGTTTCGAATTATTTAAATCTGTATGACTGTATAGTATTATAGAAATAACGCCGTTGTAATGTTATTATGTCTCTGTCACGCGACACCAACGCGTAGTTACATTTTTAAGCGTAATTAAATATCACGATTAAAATATTAGTTTTGTATAGTTACGTTAAAAAATGATATAAATCTTCGTTATAATTTGCAGTAAAATTAATGTAGAATACAATTTCTCTTTAATGTCTGTTAGAAATTAAATTATAATATACTTTTATAACATTCTTTAACACGGGTTTTCTAATTGTATTCTAACAGTAAACATTTTTTCATAGATCATTTTTAAATGTATAATAATAGTTGATGATATTGACTTGAAATATTTGTATCTTGCATTTTGTTATAACTATATTATACAGGTTTAACGACAAGATAGTTATTTATTTCTATAAACGATTATACGTAAACTTTTAAATAAATACTATATTTTACATGAGAACAAAATCAATGGTTAAGGATTTTTGATATTTTTAAAACACTGATTTTGTCGACTACTGCTATCAAATATTATAATAGAAATATTTAACCGTTTCTCTTCTCAAAGAAATAATTTAACTATTTATAGGTTGGTAACGATTTATCTTAATACGTATACAGTTATTGCATGATTTATACTACTTTAAAGCTCTAAATAGTATTATTTCGGTGGTTTTAGTGTGAGCGATTATGTCGTCTGTTGTTTTGTCAATATTATTTTGTTGCAAAAAATAAACACCATTCCTAGCTACACATTGCCTTCAACTGCAGCTGAGTTTAAATTAAACATTTTAATAATAGATCCAATAATGCGTGATATGAAAAGTCACGGCTTCTTCGCAGCTATATATTATATTGCGATGCCATGTCTACGATTCCCGGGATACGTGTTCGTATCTTCTCGCGCATTCTTTCATTCTTTCTTGAAACATGTATTTAAAACAATTTTATATCGCCGATGGTCTGAGATTATAAAGTCGTAGTGCGCCTTGCATGCATTATTTGTTATGACTGTCGACGTCGCGTTATTTGCCAATCGTATATATACGGACGGTCAACCGGAAAATTAAAACTAATTTTCACGGTTTTCTTCATTTTTTCCCTTCGTCGGTGCACATAACTTAATAGTTATTTATTTATATCATACAGTACTGGCGAGTTGTATAATTGCAGACCATCGCGTGTGTACAAATTTTAAGTTTTAAACAGTGTTAAACATTTTTCTCTTGCCTTTTTTTCCTCAGCATTCCATGATTTACTTTTATCACCACTACGAGCTGCCGTATGTGCTGCAGCAAGCTCAACTGCAGCAGGTGATCATCCAGCGGCAACAGCAACAGCACCAGCAGCAGCACCAGCAGCAGCAGCATCAGCAACAGCATCAGCAACAGCACCAACCGACCGGCGGGGATTCCTTGCGGCCGGAAGGCAGAAGTCCGGTGGAGGTAACCATCAGACCGGTCCAGCATTTCAGCCTGATGAACGGACTGAATAACCTGGGCCGTTTGCGGGCAGTGCTGTTGCGTCGGCGAAGGGTGAGGACTTTCGAGCCGCCGCCGCCACCGACCCCGCCGCCGCCCCCAACTACCCAACAGAACACGTCTCCACAGCCTCCACGGACGCCCGACGTGACCGGAAGTGCCGGTCCGGAAAATGTTACGGCAGCGGCGCCAACTGTCGCAATGCAATAGTGCGCTTTGTACCCGCGATGAGCTGTCAAACTACCTACCACCTATACCTTACATACCTATCTTACTTACCTTATAATACCCCTACTACGACAACAGCAACAACTACTATAATAACGATGTGGATGACAGTTGCCTACTACTGCTATTATTGTAATACAGTTTTTATAATGCCGCGCAGATTATACTATATTATAATTAACACATTAACGCCCCCCTATAATCTGTGATATACGATGCACGTGTGATAATGGTGGTGACGACGACGAAGACGAGTAAAACGATGTATATAATATGTATATATATATCACGGGACTTGAAACGGCGGCAGTGTATGTAATATGTACAGAGATCGTATAATAATTATATATTATATTGCTTTTGTTATTATTATTACTATTATTTTGTATTTTATATTTTCTTCTTCTGATAACGGTACACGAGAGCATCCGGAATTCATCGTTTATACGTTGAATAATAATTATAATAGTAATATCATGTTTATCGTTTGCACAAACTCCTCGTTCGCGTGATTGCGGGGGCATGTGAAACTGGCCGCTCCGCTGCTTTCGTCCTTGTGGTGGCGATGAAAGTGGCGTCAGAAAATATAAAGTGGTGACGGAGCCCGGGAACGTTTTTTCTTATTTTAGGGTTGTATTTGTTTTTATTTTCACTCTACCTAGTTTGTAAATTACGATTGTATATTTTTTTTGTTCTATAGCATTTGTAATTAATATATAGGTATATATTATTATATGTTAATTATTATATGCCATTTGTTATTTTAAAATATTGATACTATATAATTATAATACCGCCGTACTATAATATATCGTGCAGTATATATGCTGTGTATGACGTGTACCTAAGATTTTCGAACATTCAATTATATTATATAAACATGTACTAAGGTTTTATTGTTTTAAATGATTTTTTTCCATCTACATACTTCACTAGGACACATTTAATTTCCTTATCATCCATTCGACCTCAACAGTAGTGTAGACAGTAAGATAATTGAACAAATTAATATGTACCTAATCCACGTAAGAATATATCTGAAGATTCTTTTCCGCTCATTGGCAGTCAACAGAGATCCGCAGAGTCTTGTGTAACTGTTTCAGCTCTGCGAAACCCTAGGTATCTGTAGCTTACAGCGTTTCTGTGGTTGCACAGAGAAATATTAAACACTTATACACGCTCTATTAAATATCTTAACATTAAATATCGCGTATATGAGATATAACTCGTTGGAAATCGGCACATGTGTCATGATAATATTATTTATTTTTCGAATTTGTTTTTTTTTTTTAATAATTATTCATTTAGTCATTTTGTATTTCGTGGTCGGCGCCCATGTTTGATATAGTGAACGTATGTATAGTGTATAACTACAGTTACAGACGTACAGTATACATATTTATTCGTCGGCCTGGAGTGTTTTTCTTTCGAGTGTAATAACTAATAATTAACACCACGCCCAAGCCCCGTTTAGTTGGTTGGCGGGAAGGGGGTGGTTGGTAAAAGCAGGCTGAGTGCCTGCCTCCTACCTCTCTCTCACTCTCTTTACATATAAATGTATAATATAATTGACCCGGTGGGAAGAAGAAATGATGTTTAATGCCGAAAAAAATCCGAAAACAATAATTAAGTGTACGGTAGGTACCAAACTGCCGTATTTATAAAGAGAGCGTAAATAAAATTCCGCCAACGTTTCGTGGCGGGGATGAGCGCTAAGCGTGGAAATATAGCTGTTTCAGTGGCCTCGAGGTGAAATGTCGAGATTTTGCGACCAGCTCTTATATAGGTATATATATGGTATATACACTATATACTGTACACAGTATACATACCATACCTTCACCGCGTCCCTTATTTTTCTTTCATTTCACACCCCTCTCCACCCTCTTATGTATAGCTCCCTCGAGTGCCGTTACTAGCTGCTGCGTTCTTTATACACCATCACTCCCACCTTTTCACACGAACAGACTTAACGATTTTACTCTGGGCCGCTCGCGTTTTTCTTGACCGGGAACTTATATTTTACATATTATTGTACATAATATCACTATGTAGGTAGGCGCCCACATAAGAATTAAGTATATATACGCCACAAAATTTCAAAAATCGGTAAACATTTATTAAAAACAAGTTTATACATATGAATATATTATGATGGGTATACACTATACCCACTATACCTGCACGGCGGTAAAACACTGCTGCTGCTGCTAGCCTCCGAGAGATGATAATATAGTATATGGTCGGGTGGTCGGAAATTTAGTGTAGGTACCATATTATATTGTGGCAGTGATTGATGAATGATAATTAAGTATTATTCCTCTCAGTGGCGGCGTGAACTATTTTATTTTATGAGGCAAGTATAAATGCTGGACCACCACCACCTAAATTTTATCACACAGACCCGTGGGGGCTTTGCCCCCACACCCCCAATTCACAATTCTACAACGATAATATACTTTGTTGTGTTAATATCAGAAATATAATAAAATTATTATAAAATTAGTATAATTAATAGTATTAGACATTAGTTGACCATATTCATTTATTTTTTTATTTTTTTTTATTAGGGTTAAGGCTTCGACAACTTAGGTCATTAGCCTGTGGTACTGTAGGGGAGGGTACTGTAGATTTGTTACACGTGTCTGTTTGTCTTGTCAGAATTTTTTTATATTTCCTCTAAAACTTGAGGTTGGAATTTATTTGATACTTATTAGTTATTACCTAGTCAAATCGCTGTTGCAACCATGGTTATAAATATATGTGTGTAATCGAACTTATTTACTTTATCTATATAATATTGTTAAATATTAGGTATGCATGTGTACATAATTTGAAATATAAATATATCTATATTATATTTTATTTATTTGTTGTTAATCTTTGCCATGAAAGTTCTAGTTTGAAAAAAAATTATTGAATGTAAATCCACCATTTAAAATTTTGGAGCCGCAGTCAATACTATAACCACAATTTAAAGAGCCATTAAAATGTTTCGTTTCAATATTGTAGTATTATTAAATATTGTTCAAATTATTTTGCTTATATTATGAATATATTTGATTTTCAATTTAAGATAAACGACTAAATAATATTTATTTATATAAAAACATATAAATATTTTTAGCATAAGACAATTCAATATTTTGTATATAACAATATATTGTTTTCAGGGGCGGTTCTTGAGAAGCCACAAGGGGGGGGCAGCGAATATATTTTGCATATACCTACATTATACTTACAATTTGCATTCATATCAAATTTTTTTTTTCTATTGTTTGGTACATGAGATGTAATTATAAATTATATAAATTATAAACTTTATACTACAACGGCATAACATAAAGATATAGGTATCAATAAAAAAATTAAAACATAAATTATTTTTTATTCAAACTTAATTAACAGTCAAACTTCAAACATATTATACATATTAAATAAACGAGCGCCCTCTATACTTCAATAGGAGTAAACATTTTTGTAAACAGTAAACATTTTGACAAAAATTAAAAAATAAAAATATCGCCAAAACGATTTTTAGTAAACTGTTTGCTCATTTATATTTTTAGTTTTTACTCGGCCCAAGGGGGGGCGGTCCACCTATCGCCCCCCCCGTAAAACCGCCACTGATTGTTTTTGATAATAAAATAATTAATTTTTGCCTATGGGACTGGAGAACCGCAACTTTAGATGGAAAGAGCTACATGTGGCCGACCCCTGGGCTACAGCAATGCAATTTACCTGCATATAACTATATGAAAAGTAGACGTAATGGCGGTCCATGGTTAAACGCGAAGATAATATACAGGAATGCAGACTACAGAGTAACTGAAAGAATCGACAATTTTAATTAACCAACTAGGTAGGTATGTAATAACTTTTGCTCCAATCAATATTACAATTTTTTCAAATTATTATAGCCTCTTATTGTCATTATATTATCGTATATAATATAACTATATAGCAATGTATTATAATCGAAACCATATTATTGTATAACATATCATTGTTATTAACGTACCTACTTTTTAAAATGGGCAAACGCCTGTTGTTATATCATATTAAACCCGTGCACTTTTTTGCCCTTTAAATGTACCAACTCTATAATATGACTCAAACTTTGTTCAATTTGTTATTTAATATTCGGTGTATGGTGCTCAAAGTTAATCTTCACTTTTCCGTTGTTTAGAATAAAAATTCTGATTCACAGCAGTATATTATCAGGTACCTAGGCAATCTACCTGCGGTAGATCGCGGACCCCGTGCTGTTTGTACGTAAGCGTATGATTTAACTTTAAAGTTTAAACGTTTAAAGTATCAAATAGTTATACCAAGTTTGTCGTATTCCACCTATTTTGGGTTAATATAATCAATTAGGTAATTCAAAATCCTAACCTAACAGTACTAATATCAGATGAATAAAAAAAACAAATTTAACCATTTTTAAATTAGCCTGTCTCCTTCCATGTGGTCTAATCTACACACAAACATTCATTTATATATATAAATACATATATATATATATATGTATTGACAAAAAATAATAGTACGAATCAACAAACATGACCGATTAACCAATAGCAACCAATATATAGTGTTATACACTGTTGTATTTTTTACATCCAGATTTCCTACTTTTCCGATGGATTTTCCTAAAATTTTCTTTCGTAAAAACCTTCTCCTGGTAATTACGAACACCTTAAAAAAAATTTATTTGAGCCAAATCGGACCAGCCGTTCTCGATTAATGAGGTAATGACATTTTTCACGCTCCAATTTTTATATATAGATAAATAAAAAAAAAACGATAGTTTTTCATAAAATCCAAAAACCATAAGAATTATGTTATAAAAAAAAATGTTTGTCTGTTAAACCTGAATCTGAAGCTCAGTCAAATGGGAGGGGGATTATAATTTTTAACAATAATATTAATTTTAAATTAAATTTATTATAATGTAATTTTGACAATTTTATTGCTGTAGAATATAATATTATATCTTGTGCAATAATAAATGTATGTATATACAAAAATTAACGCCCATCTTCCAATAAGGGGACAATACATCCGGTGCCCACCCCTGAAACACGCCACTGTAATATGGGTATCTACAATGTAAATATTTACGATAGTAGGTATGTTGTGAATATGAAGAATGTTAAGGCGTGGCTATTTTTCACACGAGTGAAGACTACCTATATGACATATAATATATATAGTTGGAAATATTTTCCATTTGTATAATATATATAGCTCCGGATTACCTTGTTTACCTTTTAGAATTAATTTTATCGTGGGTGCGGTGAACACATACATTCATAATATATTATGTACAATCTATGATATTATTATTATATTATAATCTGACCAGCCGAGATAGTTGCACATTTCTCGGCAGTGGTAAATTGTTGACATGTGCCACATGTGGGAATTTGTTACAATATTTAAATATATATATGTTACCGTCAATGTCGTAAAAACAGGTAATGATGATATTGACTAGCCAATTAATATAATGCCTTGGTAACTTGGTCATTATCTATAATCAACATATATTTGTAACATTGACTTGATAAATCAGACGATGTTATAATTTGATAGATTCACTAGTTATTATAACATATCCTATCTTCTTGTAGTCAATGTTATCTTTTATCGTTTTAACTTTAAAAACCCACGTGAAGATTAGGTATCTGTTTTATAACGAATAATAATAGGTATCTTTTATAGTATTAATACTCACGGCAACTAACTTATAACATAAGTAAAGTTAGGGTCGGGCCACACTGCGGTATTTTCGCCGTTGAGGCCGAACGGTTTTACCGCCGGCGCTTGAAAAACCGTTCGAGTGGCTGCGCCACACTAGGGCGGCAAAACCGTTTGGCGTTTCCATTTTTTTCGTTTTATTCCCATTTGGAATTTGGTGATGTGCACACGTAATTTTGTTCATTTATTCATAAACTGAAGATATAAACTGAAATATCTTATAACCTAGAAATATATAATTATTTCTTTGTATTTATAGTAATTATAAGTTCTAAAATAATTTATTTGTTACATTCTTTTTTGAACCCATCTATAAATTGATATCAATTAAAATGCAGAGTGCTAATAATATGTAAGTATCAAAAATATTATAAATATTACCTATTGAGTAAATAATGTACTTGATAATACGTATTAAATATTTAAGAAATATATTTAATCAATTTAAAATTTCTTATTTAATAAGAATGAATTTTAACCGTGCTGTTTACCACTACAATTTACTCAAAGTAATTGCCATTGCTGAAGCTTGTGGAGAGCTAGATCCACCCAAGCAAAACCGAAACTACTGGGTGCATCCAATAAATTCAGACCGTGAAGAATCAAAAAAATTTCTTATGTTTTATGAAAATATAAGGTGTTATCCTGAAAAATTTTTTGAATATTATAGAATGTCAATCAGTTCTTTTGACGAACTATTGGAAAAAATACGACCATTTATAAAAAAACAAAACACAGCATTTCGTAACGCCGTAAGTCCAGAAGAACGTCTCACAGTTACATTGAGGTAATTTAAAGTAGATTCAAGCAATATTAATTAAAATACCTTACTTAATCAATTAATATATTAAACTATAAAATTAAGACTATTGTGTGTTTTTTGTGGGAAAGTAAGTTATCACAAAATTTAACAAGGTAATTTCAGATAAATTATATTTAAATATAATATTATAATATACTAACAGTTTGTTTGAAATGAATAACATAAAAAAAAACATATCACTTTTTAAAATTTGAAAAAAATCATTCTTCTTTGAAATACCTATATAAAAAGTTTCTATATAGATAAAAAACAAAAAACAAAAAATAAAATTACATATTACATTATTATGTATAAGTCAATCAGCCTTTGATATGGACTTAACAAATTAAGGAAAATTATTTAAATACATATTGGTTGCTATTAGATTGTTCGAGACTTTGCAGAGTTTGTGGTGGTCCAGTGTATGAGGAATTTTGAGTGAGTGGTTCTGGAAATGCATATGATGTAGTCGCAGTGGATGATCCTATAGGTCTATTATAGCTGTAAGGATATGGAAAATTTGGAGACATTTTGTGGTGATATACTGAACTGTTTGAACTGGAAGGACTATTATAGATGTTTTGTGGTTGAGAAGCTGATTGGGTAATGGTTCTGAGGGATTGAAAAAATTGAAATTTTAATTCCATTTTTTGTTCATCGTTTAGTTTTTTAATGTCCGGTAAAAATGATAGTAAAAATGCTTTATCTGGGTCATCAACTTCAGGTGGTGTTTGAAAAAATAACGGAGGGTTAGTTATTGCGTCTAGTAAAGCATCTTGAAATGAAGTGGTTTGAGCTTTTTTTTTAGAGCTAGACGACAACTTTGTTTTAGTAACACTACATTCCAATGGTGTTTCCAAACTTGATGAATTACCTTCCACATCGACTTCGTTATCATTTGACGATACATCTAATGCATTGTCCATGGTATGATTTATATTTCCAGTTGTTCTAAAAAAAACATAAAATCATACCTAGTAAATCTACCTAGATACTTAATAATTACTTATAAGTATACTGTTGATAATAATAATTTTGGAGGTGTTTCCTATTCTCTATCATGTTTTATATTGTTTATGTTACCCATATATTAGGTATACCCTAATTTATTACTTAATGTGTTAAAAAAATGCACAGACTGATTTATATTTCAGTAAATATTACTAAATATCAACTAAATAAAATATGTAACAATTAATTCTATGCATTATATGTTGAAAATTGTAATTATTTATTAATGATCTAACTAATAATTTTACTTTTGCAGGTACTTACTTTCTTTTTTTTACAATAGGACGTAAGAACGATAAAACATTTGCATATGCATATGTTCTATTTTTTTTTGGCGCTTCAGAGCCACTTACAATTCGTCTTGAATCATTAACATCCCTTGTGTAATTATCTCGAATGTTCTTCCATTTTTTTTTTAACTCTTCGACTAAATTATAAATATATAATATATATACAATTATAGAATACATACATTAACATTTTTTTTAAATTAATATTAATTTGTACCTCCGTAATAATAGCTATAAAATGTAACTATAAAAGTTAAACATTTTATATATTTTTAACCACAAAATAATTTGATACATTTTGTCAAAATTTGAACTTTAAATGCTTATAAAAAAAATTGTTCTTAGTATTTTTAATATTTTTCAAATACCATTTAAGCAATATATCAGAAGCTTTTTATTAAACTGTAAAACTTTTTGATCCAACAAATACAATTTTATTAACATTTATAGGAAAAAGGATAAAAAATAAAAAAATTGAAAATTGAAAATGTCTATGGACAGCTCAAAACGATTAACAATGTTTTGAAAATTGTATTAAGTAATCATTCGTTTTTAAACTACAATAAAATTAAAAAATCACTCCATGTCTCCATGTGATCAATATAGTTAATATTCAATGGTGTAAACATTTCAATCGCTCATAAAAATTCATTTGACTTTCCAGCAGATATATATTTTTTCTTTGATTAGGGTAGACAAAAGTCGAGGAATCTTGTAGTAAATTTTCAAATCTAAGGTACAAAAAAAATTTTTTTATGGATTTTTAAATTTTCGTGATTTTTGCGAATTATATAAAAATTTGAACTTCAGGCGTTCATAAAATATTATTGTGGATTTACCTAAAACTTTTTTTTAATTTCCACTAAAATTATTTTGAGTTGAAATTCATATAAATTTTTTTTAGATTCTGAGTGGAGCGATGAATGTATTGGTTTTACAATGATGTGTGTTTTTTTTATTTTTGTGTCTGTGTACACGATTAGTAGTCGAAATAATGCTTTGATTTTCAACTTCAGTATCTTGTTCAACGGGAAAGTGAATCTTGTTGGTACTTTTGGGAGGTCAAAATTTAAAATTCTCAATAGTTTTCCAAAGCGCCCGGAAAAACAAAATAAAAATTAAGGAAAAACGGGAATTTTTACGCAAAATCGGTTTTTGACAAAATTGAATTTGGCTTTTAGTGTTACTCTAAAAAAAATTATCGTAAATAGGTACATGACATTTTCACTGAATGTTTATATCAGCCTTTACTTTAAATGAAAACATTTTCAAAATATTTTGACTTGTTTTGAGCTGTTTACGGATATACTCTCTTACCAACTTTTTTAGGTTTTTTTCTATTAATGTTTTATGTTGTGTATTTGCTGTATAAAAAAGCTTGCAAATTTAAAACAAAGCTCCTACTATATTACTTAAATGGTATTTGAAAAATATTAAAAATACATAGGCACAATTTTTTTTTTAAGGTTTGAATTTTGACAAAATTTATCTAATTTAAAATTTAATAATTATTTATAGTTAAAAATGTATAAAATATTCAACTTTTATAGCTAAGAATTGAAAATTTAAAACAAGGTTCTACGTAAATAGGTTATATTATATAAATTACTTTATTCACAATAAAATCATCAAATATACTTTGTAATATCATAGGCTGACTGACCGTTTTCGCTCAGAATCGTTTTTCTTATACAATGATATATCATTGAATTCAAATTTAACACTATCCATTACAATGACCCACTTGTAACCTACTGTACATCAGAGCGACATCCACTTACCCACCTTTTTTATATTTAAAATAAGAAAATTGAATACAAGGTTTCTCATAGTTCATACTGTAACCAAAAATTCTCAAAAATATATAAACAATTTTTTCTATAGTTATTTAAGTTAAAATTATGTTATATTACAGATTTTTGTCCGTTGGCATAAATTTTGTTGCCTTAAAATATGAATTTTCACTTGGTAGAAGCACTATTAGCAACATTATTAAAGAAACGTGTGAAGTAATTTGGAATGTTCTGCAGCAAGCTGAAATGCCAAAACCAAGTTCCGAACAGTGGCGTGATGTAGCAGACAAATTTTTTACAAAAACCCAATTTCCCAACTGTGTGGGAGCTGTTGACGGAAAGCATATACGATGCGTCAATCCTAAAAACTCGGGATCAATTTATTTTAATTATAAGAAATTTTTCTCGATAGTTCTAATGGCAGTAGTGGACGCAGAATACTGCTTTATATCTATCGACGTAGGTGCATATGGACGAGAAGCTGATTCCACTGTTTTTAAAGAATGTCCCTTCGGTAAACTTTTATATTCGGAACAACTTGGCTTACCGGCACCGGTTTGTTTGCCAAATACCAGTGACAACCCTCAGCCATATGTAGTAATTGGAGATGAAGCATTTGGTCTACATAAAAATTTATTAAGACCTTTTCCGGGACGTGGTATTGATCGAAGAAAAAGGATTTTTAACTATAGGTTGTCAAGAGCAAGAAGGTATGTAGAGTGTTCTTTTGGCATACTGGCAAATAAATGGCGAGTTTTACATACAGCAATAAATGTAGAACCGGATTTTGCCGATATTATTGTTAAAGCTTGTTGTATACTTCACAATTTTGTCAGAAGGAGAGACGGTGTCAATTTTGAAGATACGCTAAGCAATAGCTTAGATAATTTAGAAGTACATCAGAATGATACTGGAGGTCGTTCACAAGGCAAAGATGTGAGGGACTATTTTGCAAATTATTTTTTAGAGGCTGGATCTGTTCCATTTCAATATAGATTTGTATAAGAAATTGTATTTAATATTATAATTTTTTTAAAAATTATTTGAGATTTCTTAAAACTTTAAATTATTAATATTTTAATCTTATATTTATTTTTAAATAACATGTGTAAACAGTACAAATTATAAAAATACTATATTATACTATGTTACCTATATGTTATACAACTTACTTTTATCTTCCTGTTCTTTGATTGAAAATGTTTCCCAATTTTCAAACATATTCATTGCTATGTCTATCCAAGATTTTCTTTTTGTATCTCTTTCCAAAAAACCTTTACAAGTGGTTTTCCAAATGCATTCATGCTTTTCAATCTCCATTATTAAGCACTCAACGTCAATCATTTTTATGTAGTATGTAAAAAATGCACAAGGGTAAAAAAAATTAATAAATTTTATTCACGGAAATCGAATACACAATTTGGTTCAAACCGTTGGACGGGCACCGCAGTGTGACACATGTCATTTGAAATAGTGCTATATTAAAGCAAACGGCGAAACGGCATCGCCGTTCAACCGCTGCATGCAGCGGCACGCGGCGGCGGCGAACGGCGACGAACGGTAAAACCGCTGTGTATGGCGCGCTAAATTTAAACATGTATGTTTTTCACGAACGTAAAAACCGCGGCGGTAAAACCGTTCGGCCTCAACGGCGAAAATACCGCAGTGTGGCCCGACCCAAACAGTCTACGTTGTACTTTCGTATAATGTAGTTTATAGTTTCGTATAGTTTTTCGTTTCGAAGTGTTGAATTGTTTTATTAAAAAAATGAATTCAAATGAAATGCGTCAAAAATTTTACAACGCATTATCTGATTTATTGAAAAATAAACGTGAAGATAATATATCATTTTTAAACAAAGAGGAATATATGTTTCTTATATTTTTTTTTCATTGTTTTTTCTTAAATAGTAAATATAATATATTATATCTAAAATTATCAATGGCTACATAGTTTTAGTCAATAATGACAATGACTGCTCAATCATAGAAATTATGTATTAATATTAAATTTGTTCTATTATTGTCTATCTTAGTTAGGTATTCTCTAAAATGACTAGCCAATAATATCAATGCCTATGTAAAACAGTCAGTGTTAACATAGACTAGTCATTTTTAACAATACCTAATTATCATCATTGGCGGTAACATATATATTATATATATACGACAGAATAATAAGTTTCGCGGAATAAATTATTTATCCTCTACAACCACGAATATATGCGATACGACTTTCCTCATTACCACCACTTCGTGAAAGATATCTTCAGTTCCGTATAACATTTTAGTGGAAGGGGCTTAAAATAAAAAAGTGCATTCAGAATTTAAAAACATCTAGGTATAGGAAGATTTAGTGAGTATATTGAACCACGTCTAATAGGTTTCGCTGAACACATTTTTGTTGGTGCCACCCCGTGATTGTGGCACAGAATTACACACTAAGGCCCGACCTCTTGACTCTTTCAGCCACATTTTATTTACATCATAACTTTGTTCTAAGTAAAAATGGAGTGGTGGTGGTAAGCACTAAATTATGAAAATGAAGATTGAAGTTTGCCCCTGCACACGTAATACTTAATATTAGTTCAAATTTTTTCTAAAATAACTCGAGTTATTATAGTTACGATATCGTCGAAATATTACGAGGCACCATATTTGTGCGCTGAGCCATCGATATAATATAGTGATATTATTATGTTATTTTTAAATCAATTTAATTTTTATTTTAGATAAGTACGGGTACCTACGTTCTTTTGTATTAGGTTAAATTCAATATAAAAGTGTGTATAGTACCAGCATATTAACACGTATGTTTCTATAAAATAAACGAATATTATAGTTTTATTTGTTTGTAAAAATGTGTGCGTGCAGTATACTATAGGTGGGTAATGTACTGTGTAGTGGGATTATAGGCGTGCTCAGATTTTTGTTTCGGGGGTGCACACTAAAAATTAGGGCCCACAATTATTTTGAAAACAATTATAGATACAGACAAATGTTTTAAAGATATAAAATACATTAAAAATATTTATTTTATTTTATTATTCATTCTAATAAGTATTCCATAATAATATATAGATATACAATCTTAAAATGATAATCAATGTTTAAAAGGAACACATTTTTAAATTCGTCAATAATTTCATTGGGGGGCCGTATAATTCCGGAAAGTTATATTACTGACAGTATAATTCCGGAATTAAAATGTAATTGTTCAGACCGTAAAAATCAGGAAAAAATAAATAGCTCACCGTAATGCCACAGACCGTTTTTGTCCGGAAAATAAAATACGTAAACCGTATTTCTACCGACCATAGATGTCCAGAATGTAAATACTTCGACCGTATTCTTGCAGACAAAAATAATACGCGGACCGTATAATCCCAAAACGTATAATTCCGGAATTTGAAAATTTGAAAACCGTGTTTTCACCGACCGTAAAAACCCGGAAATTCACAAACCGTTTAGTTCTAGACCGTATTTCGCTAGAAAAATATTGTGTACTATGATTACGGAATTTTGTTGTTGTGAACCGTATATTATAGTCCTGTATAGTCCCACACCAGTGGCGTTAATTTTAAGAAAATAACAGAAACCTAATTTAGCCATTTAGGTATGCTAAACTTATGGGATACCCTAGTTAAACCAACTCTATGCAAACAATTTATCAGCCCCCCCCTCCACCAAAAAAAAAAAATCCTGGCCACGCTATTATCCTATACCGTATACAATTTTGGAATTTAAAAATTTTAATTCTTAAGACAACCCAATTTGAAGATCTGTATCTCACTAACGTACTAACGAAAAACGTTTATGTAGAAATTCATTAAAAATAATAATACATTTATGAAAACTTTAACATAGGTTGTTATTTGAAAATTAAAATTTGATAATGGTTTAACTAATAACTATAAGGTTGGAAAGTTTTAGAAAACATGTATCTTATTTTATTTTAGATTCTGAGTGAAACGATGAATGTATTGATTTTACAATGATGTGTGTTTTTTTTTTAATTTTAAATTTTTTAGTGTCTGTCATCACCTTTTAGGACAGTAAAAGTGATTAGATTTTCTTCTACAGTATCTTTTCTGAAAGGAAAGTGAATCTAGTTGGTACTTTGTGGGGCCAAAAGTAAAATTTTTACAGTAGTTTTCAAAAGCGCCTTGAAAGAAAAATTAAAGAAAATCGAGAATTTTTACTCAAAATCTGTTTTTGAGAAAATCGATTTTGGTTTTTGGTGCAACTCAAAAACAAATAACCGTAAGTACATGCAATTTTGACTGAATGTTTATAATGGCATTTTCTATACACCATAACATTTTCCAAATGTTTTGACTTATTTTGAGCTGTTTACGGACATTTTCAGTTTAAATTTTTTTTAGGTTTTTTTTCTATAAATATCCATAGAGTTTTATATGTTGGTTAAAAAGCTTCAAAATTTTCAATTTAACGCTAATTTTATATTGTTTCAAAGGCAGATGAAAAAATTATAAATCCATAGTTACAATTTTTTTTTTATAGGCATTTAAAGTTCAAATATTGACAAGATACGTAAAAATTACGAAAATTTGCAAATTATTTCTGGTTAGAAATTCATAAAAAATTTTCTTTTTAAATCTAACATTTGAAACTGTAATACAAGATCCCTCATAAGCTTGTCTACCTTTATCAAAAAAAAAAAAATTTTAGAAGAAAGTCAAATTAAATTTTTATGATCGTTTGAAATATATAATTTTCCAACATTTGATATTCACTAGATTTCCCATGTAACGATTTTCTTATTTTATTGTAATTAAAAAACGAATAACTGTAGATACTTGAAAATTTTACTGAATGTTTATATTAGAATTTCCTATACACCATTCAATTTTGAAAATAATTTGACTCTTTTTGAACTTTTTACGGTTATTGTCAGTTTTCAATATTTTTTTTTATTTTTTTTTCTATAAATATAATAAAATTGTATTTACTGGGTAAAAAAGCGTGAAAATGTAATGCAAGGCTCCTGATATATTGTTACTATAGCAGTTGTAAAATATTAAAAATATATAGGCACAATTTTTTTTTATAAATATTTAAAGTTCAAATTTTGACAAAATTTACCACATTTAAAATTTAATAATAATTTTGTAATTAAAAATGTATAAAATGTTCAACTTTTATAGCTAAGGATTGAAAATTTAAATCAAGGTTCCACGTAAATAGGTTATATATAAATTACTTCATTCACGCAATAATATTATCAAATATACTTAGTAATATCATAGAATCGTTTTTCTTATACAATGATATTATTGAATTCAAATTTAGCACCATCTATTACAGTGACCTTTTTTACAGCAGAGTGACACCCACTTGCCCATTTTTTTTATGTTGTAACTGTTTTATTACTGCATATAGGTAATGACAAAAAAACTCAACTAAATTAAATTTTTTATTTATTCATATTAATTTAATAACATGTGAATTAATTTATTTAGGAGGGACGGAGGCTATGCGTAACTTTTGAGAATCCATAGCCACTCCACTACTCTAGCCTCCTTAATTGAGCTTATGTCTATTATCTATATCCGTTGTTCACTATCATATTATTAATATTATCTACAGATTTCAGTTAAAACTTATAACTTATTACTTATTAGGTAGGTATAACATTAATATCGTATACATACACAACTATAATATAGTCATCTGGTTATAATTGAATTAACAACTTTTCCGTTTTAAATGCTAAAAACGAAATAATATATTAAATAATGCCATAATGTTATAAATAATAATTATATCTTGAAACATAGTAACAAGATTTGTTTATTTATGTTTTAGTTTTTAAAATTAATTATTCACAAAGCAATGCCGGACGAACTTATAGAGAAACGCTGGTAGAGTTAGATAGAATCATAGGGGAATGTCCAGGAACTGGAGTGGCGCCTGACTGGAATGGCGCCCATATATATAACGAGACATACTGCACTGAGGACAAAGAGAAGACTACCGACGAGCTGTCGGACCTGGACACCACGAGGCCGATCCCGAAGAAACGCGGTCGGCCTCCTCTGCGGTGACCTGGCCGCGTTCTCGTTGGGCCGCGATGACGGCTTAGGGTATTGGTGTACTACAACGTAATATGCGGCCGAACGACCGGCTGTGGGGGAGGAGGATGCGAGTTCGACAGTGGAGATGGATAAAAAAAAATATGGTGTGCAGCGGCGGCACTTGGAGCAGCCGCAGAAGAGGATCGGGATCACCGAGGACGAGTTTGGAGATCAGCCGCCGCTGGCATAATGTCATGGAAATGCTGCCCACGTCCTTGAAACCGACCCGAGCGAGGACGGTGTTCGT